CACACCCACACCCACACCCACCCACACCCACACCCACCCCACACTCACACCCACATTCACACCCACACCGACACACCCACACCCACACCCACACACCCACACCCACCCACACTCACACCCACACCCCACACTGACATCCACACCCTCACACACACCCCACGCCCACACCCACACCCACACCCACACTAACTTAACCATATGAATGAACGTTTTGAAAAATCGTGAAAACTCCCATCAATTCGTCTAGTCAAACCTTCGACAGCCAGATATTATCTCGACGTGCTCTCTCAAAAGATCAAGCTATCGGTGTCAAACATCCCTCAAGTATTTGTTATTACTACCTGGAGGTAGCCGTCAAAACGTTACTAAGAGTATCCTCAGATACCTAGCGAAAAAGTTTGATGGAAAAATCACGATTATTTTTAACTATAGATAAACTTGCTCGATTTTTTTTGCTAGCAAATCGCTGTTTTCACAAATAAATCGATTAAAATCGATTTTAATTCGATAGGGACTCGAGAGATAACCCTTTTTTAAATATAATAATCGATTACCTGATTTATACTCAAATTTATATTTGAAATCGATTATAACTTTCAAAATCGATTAAAAATTAAATCACACAATTTTATCGAGAGATTCTGAATCGGTCGTAATTGATTATGTTCGATTAAAATCAGGTTTGCATTTGCAACCGATGATTATTTTCAACATCGATTAAAACTCCATCTCATAAAATTTGATTAAAGGATTCTCAATTAAGTATTGTTCATAATTTCAGTTAAATCAATTCTATATGATTTCAAATAAAATTTATTCCCGTGTAAAAAGCGATAACACTTAGTAGTCATCATTTTCTCTTGAGTAAAAATTGATTTTAAATGCCACTGTTTTGACGTCATTTCAATCACATTATTTAATTTTTAATCGATTTTAATCCCGATGACCGTAAAGGTGTTTCTTTTCGAGTTCTTGGTTAGATATTCAATCTTTTCATAGTTCTTCTCAGATTCCTCAATTCAACAAATATCAAGTACAACAATGAACTAACTTTTAACACGTATAGTACGTTTTGAAATATGATATCAAAGAATACTTACTCATGTAAGAGGTGATGGCGATGAATTAGATTAAAACCGAGATTCTATCGAAATCAAATAGAATAATAAATTTTCGATCGATTATAATTGCAATTATAATCGTTCGAAAATTTCTGTTTTTCATCGGCTTTAATTTCGTTTTGCTGCAGAGTAATCGGATTGATAATTCTGATTGTGATCATAGAGTTTTGGAATTTTAATCAATTTTAGTCGGTAAAGTTTTCCGTTGAGTAGCCCTCAAAAAGTTACTGGTACTGCGCTTAGATAGCTATCAGAAACTTACTAGGATTACCGCAAATTAGCCCTAAAAAATTACTAACATTGTCCCTTGGGTAACTGTACAAAAGTTTGAGGTGTGATTTTCATATTCCAGGTCCAGTACAACGGCGTCGTAAACGGCCTGAAACGGCTATAAAACAGCGATTAACGATGTAAAACGTCGATAAACGGCGCCGTAATCCGTCATACCAGATTACGGAAGCAAAACCGGGAAAAAACGACGGCCGTTTTCTAGCGATAGAAACGGCTCGTAATACGGTATGACGGATTACGGTGAAATAAGGCCAAAATTACTGCAATAGTTCGCCGTTTTATAGCCGTTTCAGGCCGGATAAGACGTCGTTTCCGACACCCGAAATGATCCACCTGGGATTGTCTTCAAACATTGGAACTACTTGAAAGATCGAATTCCGGAATCCTGATATCGGGAATGACCGAACCTGGGAACGATCGAACAGGAGAATGACCGAATTCGGGAAGCTCGACTCGGTGTATGTCTATTTAGTAGGTATTTTTACTTTCCTTCCTATCGTTCGTCTAAACGTTCAACTATAAGAAAGACGAAAAAAAGAATGCGATGTCTGGTCTACTACATACAACCCTGGTTGCATTATCTACTGAACAATATATCATTCGAGGTGGTTTATAAATTAAAACAAGAAAAAAAAACAGTTTTGCAATGTTTTTCCAAGATATATTTGGAGTACATTATTACGTTCACTGTACTCCCATGTACTCCTATGTACTCTCTTGTACTCCCATGTACTCCCTGTACTCTAGGAGTTCTCGGAGTACGGGAGTACATGTTTTCCCCCTTGAGAAGCTGACTCTGATCGTTTTTTTTTTCGAAGATGCTACAAATATATGCATATTTTTAGTTGACATATTAAATTTTTTATATGACAATGAAAACAAAGAGAACTTTTACTTTTACTGTGTTCTACCTTTTTTTGTAATTTCCTTTCTAGTTCACATGTGGAAATATACTTGACATGTACATAAAAACTATACCACACATTTAAATTTAGAATTTGCGTATAAAACATATGTTTAAGTCATATCATGATCCATTAGTGAGATGTAATAAAATAAGATAATCCCCCATGAATCTAGAACAACCTTCAATAGATAGTTTGAAGATTGTTTTCAAGACTTATTTCTACCAAAATCCATACAAATCGCTGTAAAATCTTAATTTTTAGAAAATAACATCAATCAGAATCATTGCTCACTTGCAAAACCCATATCTTCGTTGATAACCAATAAAATGTTGGCAAATTTTTACTGTATTATATAGGCATAGAGTATAATAAAATACACTACTGAAAAGTTGTTCAGGTTTACTTTTATTTTCTTTCGCCAATCGTACCAATAAGCTGCAATTCGCTCATATACTTATATTGTTCTAGAATGGCAATAACTATTCCTATTTCAAATTTTATTTTATTTTCGATTTTTTACTACATCTAAAAGCTTAATCTATTCTTACATCTATATGTTCGTTTTAGTTTTGGACTACTACTCTAGTTTTGTTTTCTTTCATCTATCTCTTAATTGTTTCTGTTTCTTTCTAGCCAATAAATCGATCTTGACCTAGACAACTCCATTAAGTATTCATAATAAGTAACATATAGATATATAGATGAATAGATAAATTTACAAAAACTTTTGTTAGTAACAATAAACAAAAAATTACAAAAAAAAATTACACCGATAAATGCAACACAGTTATGTATATACAAATTTTTCTATTTCTTTTTTAATAATTTCAAATGTTGATGATTGAATTGGACTATCTATTAAAGTTAATAAATTTGAATAATATTTATTATTTTGTTGCAAAATTTTCCATAAGTTTAATGTTTGTGTTGCTTCATCTATAAAATATTTCAATTTTTGAATTGATTTCATCTTTAATTGAATATTATTATCATTCATATATATGATGAGATGTAAAGCAGATTTAAGATCAAAATTACGTTCATAAGCATAGAATTGAGATTTTATTGAATTGAATGATAAATTCGAAATAAAATGAAGAAATTCATGTCCAGCAAATGAGATTGTACCATTTATTGATAATTGTTTTGTTATTTCATTTTTTTCATATTGACTTGCGAAACTGAAATCGATTAATTTCAATTGTTGAATATGACCATCTAACATTAAATTTTGTGGACACAAATCACGATGAATAATATTAGAATGATATAAATATTGAATTATATCAATCAACTGTTTCGATTGAATTAATGGTAATGCTTTTATAGATTCCAATTCATTTTTAAATAATAAAAAATTTCCTAAATTATAAATATAAAATATTTTAAATCAAAATCTTTCATTTGAAATATGCATAATTGTCATTTACTCTTTCAAAAACTGACGTCCATAAAACTTTTTTATTTTATCAAAAAAAGAAAACTTTCTCTTTCTTGTTTTTCGTCGAAAGAATTTCAAATTATCTTAATTATCAAATGAATTATTCTAAACATATAATACATAGAGGATCTTCGATTTAGATTAAAATTTATTCTCAAGAGTAAACATTGTTGATTCTTTAAAAAAGAAAATAATATTGATTTATTTTCAATAAGTTTTGACTCGATGATATCTATGCATCAATCAATCTCAAAATAATTTTCTTTACAATTAATAATCTCTCCTATTAATTATATAGAATGTTTTATCTTAAACGATTTGCAAATTTTCTTTTTTTTTTCCGAATAATAAAATTAAAAAAAAAAAAAAAATCTTTTTTAATCATACAATAAATAGTACTATTCATTATTAAGATTTTCATTTTATTATTGAAAAATATGAGGAAAATGTTTTTTTTCTTTATTAAACTATTCAATTTCAATGAATTATTCTTTAATTTTCTCTTCCATCAATTAGATATTTTTTCTTTTTCAAATAAATATTTCAGATTATGTTAATTATATTTCATTTCAATTCTTTTTTTCTTTGAGGAAATAAAAACAATATTATTATTTACATTCAACTATTATCAACACAACAAAAAGAAAATCTTTTTCTTTTTTCTCGTCTTAGTCTAGATATTTTTCATCGATGAACTAATCAATTCTAAAATAATATAATTTCATAAAACGTCTTATTAAATTCTATTTCTCATCATGTTAAACAAGAAAAATAAAAACATTGTTTTTTTTTCTTTCTTCTTCTCAATATCTGAATATTGTTGATAGATTAAGAAAAAGTCGAATGAAAAAATTTACCTGAAAATGATAAACTTATAATATCTTCAAAGAATAAATTAAAGTTATTTGAAATATTCAATTTTTTCAATTCTTTTATTATTTTAATTTCATTTAAATATAATGATGAATATTCATTGTGTCTATAAATTTTAATAATACAATGTTCAATATCATTAATGTAAGTATTGTTTTTTGTTTTTTCTAACAAATAAAAATTTGATGTTGAACATTTTCCTAATGTTTTCATAATGGAATACCTATTTGATAATATTGTATGGATATCATTTATATTTAATGTTGTATATTCATAAAAATCTTTGTGCATTATTAAAAACTTCGTAAATATAATCCATGTTTCTTTATTGAGAGAAATATTTTTCGATTCTTCAATTAATGATGTATTTCTATTGAACATCTTCATTGATGGTGTAACGTTAAATAAATAATCAAACATATTCAATGTAGGACTTTCAAAATAATCATATAAATAAAAATCTGAATTTTTTTCGACACAAAAAAATTTGATAGATTTATTATTGGTTAAAAAGCCATAAATTTTATTACGGTTTTGTTTATTTAACAAGTTTTTCAAACACATTAATATTTCACTTTTTGCTTCTATATCATCGATAGATTCCGTTGGTTCTTTAATATTGCCAATAATGACAACAAAATCTTGAAGACATTGATATTCATTTTTAATATTAATATTGATATCATTGAAGATAAATGTACAATTAGGCGATTTTCCTTTCAAATAATTTTTATTTCGTGTATTTAAATATGATAATGATGTTCTACCATGAAAACTGCATAATAATTTCAACATTAATTCATCAAATACATTTTGATATTCATTTTCACCTTTTTTTGTACATGATAAAATATTTTGTATGTAATCTTCAATATAATTTTCTATCGATTCATTAAAATGATCATTTTCTTCTAACAAGAAATTGACGTCGAACAGACAAATGTTGTTATTAATGAAATCATTGTCAATATCAGAATCCGATGAATATTCTAAGAAACTATCATCGGTTGATGATAATTCGTTTTCAGATGATTCATTTTCAAATGATTCTTTCATTCGTTTTCTTAATTCTTCTTCATTCAGTTCCATAATTTCTAATGCTTTTCTTTTGGTCGTTTCTTGTTCTTCTATTTGTTTTCGTTTTGTTATTTCTTCTTCTTGTTTTCGTTTTGTTGCTTCTTCTTCTTCTATTCGTTTTCGTTTTGTTGCTTCTTGTTCTTGTTTGAGTTTTTCCTGAGCAAGAAGTAATTGTAATTTTAATATTTTGATTGTTTCACTTTCATTATCATCAATAATCATGTTCAGCATTTTATGATTCGATCTAGAAAGAATAAAGAAATATTACTGGTATAGCTTCTTGAGAATTGAAATGTAGAACACAAATATTTCTTACAATCTACAGTATAAGATTGGTTCCTACAGTTTTTCTAATGGAAAGTCCGTGTATGCATGAGATTTTATATAATTGTTCTCTCTTTCATAATTTTTTGACGAATAAAAACTATCAAATATAACGATGTCGCTAATGAACAGAAAGATAAACTCTCTTTATTCGTCTATGTTATCACTAATCAATGACTATATGTATTCTGGTCTTTCTTTATAGTACATGTTATTGGTTTCTTTTTAAATCATTCTTATTATTTTCAAATCAAATAGCATATGTTCAAAAACTGCAAAAAAGTCATAAAATAACTAAAAATACCAAAAAAAAAACAGTGAACTCATCTCTGTACTTCGAAATATAGTTGGCATTTTTAACGTTGCCAATGATTCTATAACATCAAATATGAAACTGCTTGCACTATTCGGCCCCGACATTTTTTCTTTTATTCCTCTAGTTTTTACCTGTGTTTAGGGTTCGAAATTTTAGTGTATTTTAAAAATAAAGAATAAAGAACATTGTGATCTTTGAAATCAAAAATTAAAATACGTTTGAAACTTTGACTTCAAAGATGAATGATTCTCTTAAGCATTTTATTCAATGAAAATCACATATTGAAAGCTATTTTTTGACTGAACTAAACATTTCATCGATCAATATAAATCTATTTTTATCTTTACATAAAAATTTGATTTATTTGTATTAGAAAAAAAATAATTGTATTAGTGTAAACATCATTATGAAAGAAAAAATCATTACAAACTAGATGGTATTCGAGCTTCGCTTCGAATACGAAATGCCCTGCGAAGCACGAATCTCTCGAATTTTCGAAAAAATGGTATTTTGTAGAAAACAAAAATTCGATTGTCGAGTTAATAGAAATCGTCATCTCTGGTTAACTTGTGAACCGACTACCAAACATAGACACTTCTCTGTATTATTCGAAGTCGAAAAATTATTTTTCCACAACTCAGCTGATATAAGTAGGGAGAAACTTCGAAAAGCGGCATAATAAAATTCATCGCCACGAGAACTCTATGAAAGCCTATCAATACTTTTCTGAAGGACGATTTCGATTGATTGTTTTATTATCTATATGATTCATTATCTATAAACAGCTGTATCACAGCTGTCTTACATTCAAAGAGAGAGAATGGCGCCTGACATCTCTTTCATTTTTCTTTTTAATTATCTCAATGCAAAATTTTGTCAAAATCGTGTTTTTGGAA